CCGAGACACAAGTTCGCTCACCATGCCGCCTCCGCTGCCCGCCCCAGGTGGCAGCAGCGCGGGCGCATTGTCGTTCTCGTCCAGCACGAACACCTGCAGCGTCACGTTGCTGCCCAGAGGCGGCACGCCCGCGTCGCGCGCGCTCACCTGGAACTGCAGCAGCTCCAGCTCCTCGTGGTCCAGAGGCTGCAGCGCGTACACCTTGCCGCTCTCCGCGTGCACAGACACGTAGCTCGACAGCGCACGCTCGCCCACGCGCCGCTCCACCAGCGAGTAGGACACCAGCGCGTTCTCCTGCGCGTCCAAGTCCCGCGCGGACACCGTGAAGATGTGGCAGCCGGGCGGATTGTTCTCCCTCACAAACACGGTGTACTCTGACTGCGCGAAAACCGGAGCGTTGTCGTTCACGTCAGCCACCTCCACGGACATGCTGGCGGTGACAGATAGCGAAGGTGAGCCCCCATCCTGCGCGGTTACTACTACGTTATAGTTCGACACGCTCTCGCGGTCCAAAGCGCTGTCCAGCACCAGCGAATAGTAATTCTTGAAGGTGGACACCAACTTGAAGGGAATATGGGGTGACAGGGTGCAGGTAACCTGTCCGTTAACACCAGAGTCGGAGTCGGACACACTAATCAGAGCGATGATAGTGCCTAGTGGAGCATCTTCTAATACAGGCAATGATAGTGATTTGATAACCAACTCAGGCACGTTATCATTTGTGTCCAAAATTTCTACTAGAACAGTGCAGTGATCTGCCATTGGGGGATTTCCTTTATCTGTCGCGTCTACCTGGATTTCATATAACTTAGTGTCCTCGAAATCTAAGTTACCCTTTACAGTGATGTATCCATAAACCGGGTCTAAGTGGAATTTCGATAGAGTATCTGCTGACGTTTCAGTGTTGAAAGAATACACAATGTCCTTATTTACTCCTTCATCCAAATCAGAGGCATTAACAATCACTGCTAGGGTACCATTTGGTGCATTTTCGAATAATCTGACTTTGTAGACCGCCCTCTCAAATTCTGGGGCGTTGTCGTTTACATCTAGAATGGTGATTGTCAGTTGAGTAGTACCAGTGAGCTCAGGTTTCCCACCATCAACTGCCATTATTAGTAAGTGATGCTCAGGAGTGTCCTCCCGATTTAAAAGTTTTTTCAACACGAGGCCAAGGGATTTAATTTCCTTATCATTTCTTTGAACATCCAAGGTAAAATATTCGTTGGCGTTAAGAATGTAGGTCAACAGCGAATTCGCTCCTATATCTGAATCTGATGCGCCCTCTAGCGGAATCCGAGAACCAGGTGGCCGCGATTCGTAAATAAACATTTTTTTTACAGCCTTTGGGAAAACAGGGGGGTTGTCATTAATGTCCTTCACCTCCACCTCCACATGGAAAACCTGCAGCGGCCTCTCCACGATCACTTCCAGGTGGATGCTGCACTCCAGGCTCCTCCCGCACAGCTCCTCGCGGTCAATCCGAGAATTCACAAATAAAATGCCATTCTGCAGATTTACCTCCAGAAGGTCCCCGTGGCCTTTGGACGCCACCCGGAACAGGCGCGGCACCAGCTCCGCCAGCTCCAGCCCCAGGTCCTGGGCGATGCGGCCCACGAAGGTGCCGTGTTTGGCCTCCTCCGGGATCGAGTAGTGGACCTGGCCGCTCCCAGCCTCCCAGATTGGGAAGAGCAGAAGCGAAAGCAGTAGTCGCCAAGCTCCTGGACCTTCTCTCCAAGAAAACACCATTGCAACCCTTTCCCAAATATGTGGTCTCTCTTGCACCGATCCAAAATTTTAAAAATAATTTGAGTTTCTTATTCTTCATTTCTTAAAGAAACCTCCCCATGCCTGTATTTCAGAAATGGTGAGGAAAAGCGGCATCTGTGTGTAAGGCGCGCTCAATATCTTTTGTAGTGAAAGACCTTGTGGTGGACAGCGACATCATGTGGCTAAATGTGTGCTGTATTAAATAAATGTATTGTCTTCTTTCCTTAAACTTCGTTTGAACTTTCTCAAATTATTATTTTCGTTGTAATGTCCCTCAAGCACTTCTCAAAGTCTTTATATTTTTCTCAGAATATATTCTTAGAACTGTTTATACTAATTTATTACTTTCAATTCTGCCAATCCATGACATAGAGTCAAATATAATAAACGTGATTACTATTCTAACAGCAGTGGACATCTATTGGAAATAGTCCCCTTTGACAAACACTGTTCTATTTGTTTTAATGGGGTTATCTTATTAAATTTTCACAACCTTCTGAGGTAAATATTAATGTTTCACTTTTTACAAACAAAGAAGTGGAAGTATATACAGGTTAAATAACTGAAAAATGTTATTAACTGGTGGTGTTTGGATGGGATCTAAATCTGACTGAGTAGCCATAACTTTAATCATTTGGCCTGTAAATCTACATTTTATAGAAAAATCAAGCCTTTGATATTTGTGACCATCAAAACATCGAGACTTGGAAATATGTGTGTGTATATATCCATATATGTATACATACATATTTACTTCTATATTATTTTGCCAATTGTTAATTTATCAAATGTTCACTTTGTTATTTATTTATTTATTTATTTATTTATTTATTTATTTATTTGTAAAATGTCTACAAGTCATTTTTGTGTCTTTTATTCAATGACTATATCCTTGTTAGCTGTCTTACCTGTTATTTATACAAACACCTAAAGATGCCAGAAGTCAGTCTTTTACACTGCAGTTCTTTTGTAAATTTGTTTTTACTGCATGACAACACTGTGTGAATTGGGTATTTGTTACATTCACATCAAACAAACAAAGAATGTATTCGTTTTGACATGTCCACATCATTTATAAGTTTTAATTTACCTATAATCTTAAAATGTTCGTAAAATTGTGTATTTAATCATCTGGATGAATTTCTGGATTCCAGTTTCTTAAAACATTTTTACTTGGAAGAGTTGGTGGTGATTTAACCAAACAGTAAAAAGCAAAAAGTAACTTTATCACATGGTTCACTACTCAAAATAAGTAAGATGAGGCAATGGAGTATTCTAAAGATCTCTGCGATCTAAAGAATTCAGCGAGAGGAATGAGTTCTCTGAGCATTTGGAAGTTGAGCAGAGAAAGACCATGGGAAGAGGTTGAATTTACAGAGGTAAGAGGATGTTCAAAGTTTTGATTATAGTCAGACTGTTTTTTAATGAAATCAAACATGTGATTTAAGTATTAGGAGAAAATTTTTCATACCAGTTTTTTTCCTGTGTGCTCATTGAATGCAAGCTAGGATTGCAACTTACTCATATTTTATCATTCATATTTAGAATAGAATGAATTGTCCATTAATGTTGTAATGAATAAATAAGTATTTTAAATTAACTTTCTCGGGTAATATAAGTAAACAAGTAAGTTACATTAATAATGTTTGTTAATATCAAATTTACATAATTTCTAACTGTTGTATGAGTTCATGAAAAAGAAGTAAATATTTAGGAATTCTTTGGGAAAAGCATGGACCTAGGAAATAATTATAGAGATCAATATGGTAGTTCTTTGATAAATCTTGAAAGGTAGCAAGTTTAAAAATGAGACACAAACTTAACATTTTAAAACATCATGGACTTCATATTAATTGTTATACTATTAATTGACAACTTCTTGTAATGCCATACATTTCATGACATTTAAGAGTGTACTGAGGCAACTTGGAGAAAATGTAAATAAGGAATGAGAAACACTAAGAACCTATATAGCAATAAGTTGTAACTCCTGGAGATCTGAGCACACTTGAATATAGTTTTAAAGGCTTAACATTTACCTATAGCAGAAATGTAGAGGCCAGACCTCCAATAGGAAGAATTCCACCTGACCATTCGTACATTCTATACACAAGTCTCAAAGTGGTGAGTAGCTATGATATTCTAGGTGGGATAACTTCTCCCCAGAAAAAGCTTCTTCCTCATTTGTTCAAGCTATTTGTTTTTCTCCATAAATATATAAAGCCTCAGATGAACTTTTCTGATTCCCAGGAAATAATATATTCTTAATTTTGAGGCTTAATCAATGCTAAGGAACTAATAAGTTTCCCTTAAAAACAGACTATCCTTAAATGGAATTCAAAATCTCACCACCAAACTCGTAAACATTCCTGTAAAAGAAGATCCCAGACGGAAGTTGTTATTCTGACCTATCTGTGAAGTGGCTGTGGCCAAGATCACTTAGTGGAAATTATTTCTATGATTCATCAATATCCAGATACATTTAGAGAAAAAAAAAAAAACAGCAAATAACTAAAACCAAATAGTATAAGGCAGTTTTATATGTTATTTCACCCCAAGACATCTTCCTTTGGTTGAAACAACTTTTTAAATTTCATTTCCAAGTGTAACATTTACTTGTCCAGTTTGGTGTTTTAACTACCCAACACAGGAGTTTCCAATGAAAATATAATAATCCAAAACTAGTCCTTACCTTTTGAAAAAACTCCAACTTCATTAGGAATATGGATGCTGCCAGGTGAAACTGAGTGAGTTCACAGTCATAGAAAACTTTATCCTAGTCATAGAATGTGGTGCCAGAAAAAAGTGATTAATGTCTGCGCAGTGGGAAGTCTGCATACATTATTAGCCCAGTGGTACTGATATTGGAAAAATGACTGAGCAGCCAGCTACCATAAAGACTGGATTAGAGTACTCTCCACTTATATTAAGAAAAAGTCCCACCACCTGGCCACCCCACTATGTGATGTTTTAAATGTTAACATTATTTAATTAAACAATACAGAGAGGGGCCTCTTTTCTCAATAAACTCTCTATTGTGCCTTAAAACTCCCAGGATTTTGCAAGTGTGAAATCTCTATCCCAAATGACATTTTATTTTACTACAAAAGCCATACCAAAGTAATGTCAGATGTGGTAATGACCTATGATACATAACTTTGGAAGGCCTAGCATTAAAAGGTCCATTAAGGCTGTTTTCAAACACAAGGAAAAGAAAACTAACGTATGAACTGTGGTATAAACAGATAAAGATAAATTAATTCTTGAGTGAAATAATAATTTAGGACATGTCCAGATATATAATATAGTCTTATTCCAATATATTCTGACAGAATGAATGGATGGTGTATTATGGGAAATATGTATTATATAATCATACTCTATAAATGTTTTCCAATTGTGATATTTTAATTTGAGAAAAAACATTCACATGTAATATTACGTTTCCAACTTTTGCTTAAGTGTTTTTTATTCCTTAAAGGTCCTATTATTCACGGAGACGTTTAATTATGGAAAAGCCAAAATGTAAAGATAATAGAACCATTTATGTAAATTGATGTCAATGCAAAAAGAATTGAACTCTAATTCATTCCGTGTGTTGAACAATAAGATACCAATATAAATAAAGGCAGAGCTTTGGAAATAATACAATATAAAGAATAAAGGAGCCCTGGCCGGTTTGGCTCAGCGGTTAGAGCGTCGACCTGTGGTCCTGAGAGACCCGGGTTCGGTTCCCGCTAAGGGCATGTACCTCGGTTGCAGTTTGTCCCCGGCCCTGGTCGGTTGTGCGGGTGGCAGCCACTCGATGTGTCCCTTTCACATGGATGTTTCTCTGTCTCTCTCTGTTCCTCTCCCCCCCCCCCCACTCTACCTGAACAAAAAATGGAAAAATGTCCTCGGGTGAGGATAAAAAAAATAATAATAATAAAACTGCCTTTAAAAAAAGAATAAAGGAGCCCGGCCTGTGTGGCTCAGTGGTTGAGTGTGGATCCATGCACCAAGAGGTTGCTGGTTTGATTCCCAGTGAGGGCACATGCCCAGGTTGTGGGCCAAATCCCAAGTGGGGGGCATGCAGGAGGTGGCCAATTGATGTTCTCTCTCATAGATGTTTCTCTCTCTCTCTCCCTCTCCCTTCCTCTCTCTCCAAAATCAATAAAGAAAAAATATTTTTTTTAAAAAGAATGAAGGAATTAGAACAATTTTAGAATTGACAGGAAAAAAATTAAAAGACTCACCTTTCCTACGTGTTCTGATTCTGAGGGGTGCTGTCTTTCTTCTGCGGAGCCTGGACCTTGCGGTAGGCTGGGGCTGAAGGCCATGAGGTCGGTCTTTGGCGGGCCCTCCCCAGAGCACACCCTCTGCCGCTTCTGCTGCGAATAGGACCAGCTCCCTACTGCGCTGGAGCACACCAGCATGGGCTTCCCTGGCCCGCATGCGCCCTCGGTAGGCGGTGCCCAGCACCTAAGAACGGAGTACAGCCCCAGCGTGAGCACCAACAGGCTGGACACCGCGCAGATGGCGATGATCAGATACACGTTCACGTCAACCAGCGCGGCCTTCGCGCTCGCAGCGGCCAAAGATGCTCGCGAGGAGGCCTTAGGCGTCTGGCCGCTGTCCACCAGCGACAGCAGCACGGTGGCCGTGGCCACCAGCGCCGGCTCTCCGTGGTCCTTCACCAGCACCAGAAGGCGCTGGCGCGAAGCGTCTGCTTCAAGCAGAGCGCGCGTCGTGCTGATCTCGCCCGTGTACAGCCCCACGCGAAAGGGGCTGTGCGCACCACCTTCCGCCGGCTGCAACTCGTAAGACAGCCACGCATTGTAGCCAGAATCCGCGTCCACAGCGCGCACCTTCGCCACCACGTGGCCTGCGCCCACTGACCGGGCCACCAGTTCGCTCACCGCTCCGCTCCCGCCGCCAGCCCCAGGCGGCAACAGCGTGGGCGCGTTGTCGTTCTCGTCCAGCACGAACACCTGCAGCGT